GCTGGACATAATCCTACGCGCTGACTCCAGTGCTTTCTCCCGTACGCGGGACCAGAGGTGATCCATGCTGACAAGAGTGCTCTGTTCCGCTCCCAAATACTTGTAGAGCGAGTTCGACCCCAAGACGGGTATCCCACCCATCTCGTCAGCCATAATATCAGTTTGGGGTAAATGCAGAGAGTGTACGGCACATTTGCTGGGGTTCATATGAAGCCCCAATTCACCAGCCACTCTCTCTATACCCTCACGGGCTTTGACAATATCATCCCACTTAGGTGAGTACACTTTCAAATCATCCATATAAAACAGATGATTGATTACGAGAGGCCCGTCAGCGAGCGTCAACATCCCTGTAGATGTCCTATATGGGCTAACGTTTTCACGCAGCCATGAGGACAAGGGCGTAATCGCAATACAAAACAGGAGTGGGCTGAGTGTGTCACCCTGCATCACTCCCCTTTTCACCTTCAGAGGTGCGCTTTTGACTAGTTTCCCGTCCTTGTACCCACAATACCGGACGCTTTGCATTGACATGATCACAGATAGTAGTCTTCTCGTTGGAGAGGCTACCCCTGTTCGTGCCAATATCCATTTTAATGCGCCATGCGACACGGAGTCGAAGGCTTTAGTCATATCCACCCACAGGGTGTGGAGTGCTTTTTTACGCCTCAGGGCGTCCTTGCAGATCGTTTGATCCAATATATGCGCATGAGTGCAGCCCCAGACTCCTTTGCGCAGTGCGACTTGCTCCGGGGGGAGCACGTCTTCTGAGCATTGGAGTATCTGTTGTGCAATCATGGCCGTAAGAATCTTATAGCATGTATTCAAACATGCTATTGGCCGAAAATCTCCAGGACCTCGATTCTCCGAGCTCCCTTTAGGGATCAATACAATCCTACCTCTGCATAACCATCTCGGGATGATTTTGTGGGGTCTTCGCAGTGCCGCTAAGCACCACTCTTTTAGCCTGTTTTTTGCTTCTGGCAATTTCTTCCACCAGAATCCCTGTATGCCATCAGGACCTGTTGCTTTCCAAGGTTTCACTTTCGCAAATATACTTGCCCAGTTCTCCTCGGACAGGTTGATGGCAACCGTACTTCCCGCACGCTGTTCCTTGCGAGCCCACGTCAGGAGGTCTTCTGAAGGATGGAACGGTTGTGATTCACCAATGATGGTCTTCCAGTGCTCGCGCACCTCTGTAACCGGAACGTCAGAATCCCTCTCTCGTGGTTCTCGTGCAACAGCAGGATAACCCCGCTTCCTTTCACGAAGACGCTTCAGAGTGTCTTGTTTTGCTTTAATATCGGAGTTTACGATTTTCAGCTCATCCTTGAATCTGATCAAGAGCCTCTCAACTTCCACAGTTGTCGAAACTCCGTGCAGTCTGGCTATTTCGAGGTAGTGCTTACTAGGAGCCCCTCTACTGCCAGCCTTCCGTCTGCGGACCTCAACGGCCAACACTGATATTGTTCTCAGCAGAGAACTTCTCAGCGTTTTCATTTCTCTTACTTTTTGATAAGCTTTGCCAGCTTTCTCAGACTCGCCCCCCAACAACAGTGTTGTTATGGCTTTTCCTGCCGCATAAACCGCAGCGTTCAGAGCTGTCAGTGTTCTACCAGAAGAGGTCCTACCCCTTAGTTTTTCGGCAATAAGCCTACTACCAAGTTGCAGGAATTCCTCTGGTATCTCACCTTCAGGCCTCCTAATAGGGTGTCTCTCATGCGATTTTATCGCAATTCTAAAATAGCTGTCAAACCGCTCTCGTAACCGAGCTTCGAGGGTCACATCGGAGGCACTCGTTTCCGAGCTACTTCGAGGACCAGATCTAGATTCAGCTGTACTTTCAGAGACACCCTCTATTGGTTCCACACTCTGATCTGTCAGAGTGATCTGATCAGTGGCTACTTGGTCTGCATTTTGCACATCAATCATGCCTGCCGACCTCGTGTCCACTCTGCTTCTATCACTTGCTACTCGCAAGCTTCGCATACGCATATTTCAGCGCACTCAGAGATCGCTCTGGTTCATTATCATCTCGCGAGTTTTCCCAGGCAGAGCCTACGTCCACCCACTTTATGCGACCGCCCGGTTCCCTGTTTGTTTCCACCATATCCACGAGTTTAGCTAGTTCGCTAGCACTCCAGAGAACGCCTTTGCTCCGCTGCAATCTGATATTCTGAGCCACAGGCTCTCGAGATGCAGAGAGTGAACTCGCTCGAGCCCGAGAGGATGTTTGATGCGTAGCCATATTGGCTCTTTCATCATTTGGCTGAACTTCGGAGATCTCGGTGTAGCCAGACAACTGACTTCCTCGATCTGATATTCGCAGTTCAGGCGAATCCTCTCGACGCTCACGCGTTTCTACAGGCTGTCTCCTTTGCCGGTTTCTCCGTCTAGAGGCACGAGTGGTCTGTCCTTCTCTGGAGGGACTCTGCGGAGTCTCCGGGAGCTCGTTCATAAGTGATCGATCTCCCTGACTCGGTGTTGCCGCTTCAGCCTCTACCCCGGTCATTCCGGCTGGATTTGGTGGTCTCATGCCCTCACTGGAGGACATTTCATGAGGCATTGACCTCTCCTGAACCGTAGTTAGGTCTGTAGAGACCACACTGGCGGTCTCATCACTTTGAACAGACAGCTGTTGTTCATCAGCAGGTGCTGCTGACGCTATTTGTCCGGATAGCCGGACAAGTTTCGTGTATGCAGTCTTCAGAGATGCTGCAGTTCTGTGTGGGTCGTCGGCACAGCGGGAACGTTCCCAAGCGGAGCTCAGAACGCTCCACTGCACCCGGCCGTTTATGTGTCTGTGTCTCTGGACCAGATCTCTCAGTTTACAGAGCTCTCGCTCTGTCCAGGCTGCACCGTTTCTTTGTCGCGGTGCTTCATTTCGGGAATTGGCTTCCGTCAGACCGCTGACGCTTTCTCCCATTGTTATTTCCGGAAGCTGCTGAGTTCCATTGTTGCCGGTGTCGTCCGGCGGGTGGCCGATAGGGCATGCCAAGGCAGCCTCAATGCTTACGTTGATCTCTGGATCAACCGATTCGGGACGTTCCTCTGCACTTTGTGCATTGGAACCCCCAGACTGCTGGGGTGTCTCCCTCTCTAAAACTCCAGTCATCCTGGAGAGTCTTGCGAAGGCCGCTTTTAATGACTCTACTGACCGCCCGGGGCCATCGTGAAGTTGTTCCAGGTTGAAGTGCCTCTGCACCTCAACCCATCGCACGTGACCCGTCTCCATTCTTAGTCTCTGGACTATGGAGACTAATCGAGCCTGCTCATTCTCAGTCCAGGGTAAAGTTCTTCGAGTTTGGCTTTGAGCGCTGAGCTCGTAATGCCCATCGTACCTGAACTCTGCATCCCTGGACAGTCCTTCAGAGGACCGCTGGGAAGAACTAGAATGAGCAGTGCTATGTGTTTGAGCTCGCCTGGTTACCCCCCGATGCCGCTCGTGCATCAGGGACCCTCGCATACTTATCACACCCGCCGGGCCTTGCGAATGCGCGTCGGCTCCCGCGGACGCCGTAGCATTTACATCACATACATTATTCTGCATAACCATGTTTGTGTCCGTGTTCAGCTCAGCCCATATAGATGGGCAGTTTCCAGTGGCACCACGCGGAGGAACGGACGTCGCCACCTTCTTGGTTATCCCGTCAGCCGCCATGTTTCTTGTTACAGAAACACAGAACCGAACTGTCGCTATTGGCAGTTCATTCGACTGTATACGTATAACCGGTCCTTCAGTGCAGTTTGCTGCACCCAGGATGTAGTAGAGCCACAAGCTACCGAGCTTAGTGCAATCCATTCAACCCATACGGGACACAGACCGTCAGCGGGTTCTTCGGATGAGAACCTTGACGTACACCCTAGTATCTCGGGTGCCTCGTTAACTGTGCTGTATTTGGACTTCACCCGGCACTTCAACACCGTGATATGTGACGATGTCCACATCGAACCAGCCTTTGTGAACGGTCCCCACAGCCGTTTCTCGCGTATCGCACGCGAGGTGCTTTGCAGAAACGTACGGCAACCTGTCACCCACGTTACTGAAGTGGCTATGTTAGGCTCCACTAATAGTAGTTCACCTACATATCTTGCCGCTACTGAGCCTTATGATCATTAACTGTAATGATCCATTTACAGAATGGTGTTGACCATTCTCCGCATTTTCTGGTATGTCATCTCTGGATGACTAGTTTCGCACACCTTCTTGGGTGTCTTGCTCAGTAGCCACTTACTGAAGTGGCTGTTATACAGGGTGGTACTGACCCTTCTCTTGGTGCACTTATGGAGGTGCTGTATCTTACAAGGTGGCATTGGCCATTCCCCTTTACGTAACGTTTTCTGAAAAGTCATCTTTGGATGACTAATTCCGCACACTTTCCGAAGTGCCTTGTTCAATAACCACTAATTGAGGTGGCTGTTGTACAGGGTGGTACAGACCCTTCTCTTAATGCATTTATCAAAGTGTTGTGTCTTTCAAGGCGGCGTTGGCCACTCCCCTTTACATAACAACAACACATAGTACACCTATCGCGCCATGCACAACGCCTAGGTCTTAGCGCGGGTATCTCCACATGCAGGGCGTAATCTCAACCCTATGCATACAAGAAACCCACGTTGCAATCGATAAATCGATGAAAGTCTTCACTACGTGAGCAGTCCCGAAAAACTCTAAGTCCAGGACACAGAAGTTAAAATACGTCACTTGCGACGCTAAGCAAACAACCGATCTCAGGATAGTCTCAACAGATCACGGTGTACAAACACCGTTTCACTGGATCCATACCCAGACCAGTGAGAGACATGTCGTAGACAGCATATAACGTGGTGTACGTGTACTACCACAGTACGCACAATACACCACCTACATGCTGTCGACATGTAGAACCCCGACATTGAACCAGAGGAATCTGGCTTTGACAACCAGCAGGGATTATCCATACCGGCAAGGTCATTACTGGGGTATAAGCACTCGTGATTCCACGAGTTGGTCTAGATTCCCGACACCGGGAATCTATTTATTTATTTGCTACTTCTAATGTTCCCAATGGTGGGATCGCAATCCCAACCCTGGGAATCTATTATTGCTGTTACGTCTATGTCGGAGACCACCCACAAAGGTGGCTCCTTATAGACCCCAGCGTTCGCAACCATTAGTCAACAGTAGGGTAAAACTAACCCGAATTCACGACGGTCTAAACCCGCAAGTAATAACGGTTCAACCATAGGAAACAAGGCGATACAGAGATAAACAAAAACTTTTATTGAAAATTTTCATTTACTGGTCATCGGACCAGTTCAATCCAACGTGTTCACTTGGATTTCTTCTTCTTCGGAGGCTTAGCCTCCCCTGTCTCTGTATCACTCGAGGGGGCCGATTCCGGCTCCTCTTTCTTCACATTCGAAGGGCCTTGTTCCTGTTGGAACCGCATGAAACATTCGTAGAGTCCTTGTACTTGATTTTCCCCGATTGATAGTCGCGCACCGATCAATGTGGCGAGTTCGTCCAGGTCATAGGACACTCTTCCAGCACTGAAACAATGCACTTCAAATCAATTGAGTTCACAAGTAAACAAAGACATACTTGACATGAACAACGTTGAAAAACTTGCGAGCATCCATGAAATGAAGATTTTTCCTGGGGTTGTTTGCTCCGACCATTTACCTGCAATCAAAATGCTTAGAAATCAACGGCTGTGGGACAGTGGCTCGAAACGAGACACACACAGCGAAGCATAATGGACAGATAAATAATGGCGAAATGAGCAAAACCAAGCCACCAAAGAAAATTTCAACTCAGGATACTCAGTCAAACATTAAAGTGATTGCGGGTGGCGCCGATGCGCGGTCATTAAGATTGCCTGTACTCCAGGTTCCGTAGTGTCACTTGCATGCAACACTACCTAACCACCACCGCAATTTTCGGACAGGGGTCGGTCTATCCTGGACTCGTGGTTGGTAAGCCGTTTCGGGGTAGGCTAATAGGGGCACAAGCCACTGGGCTCGTTTCCGCTATACTACCTCCCAATCGGGACAATACCCACCATCCGGGATCTCATTGCACCGACCACTATGTACAAGACACCTTACCGCAAAAGAGTGTCTACCGTCAATTTATTTAAGTTTCAGGTTAGTGTTGCCACACTCGATTTCCCCGTGTGGTCACTGTTACGCGACCTACGGATGTGACAATCACTTGCTCAGAAAGAGCTACATGCTGCCATTCCACCGAGATATGCGCAGGCACCAACAGTGGTGCTGTGGAGGAACCCGACTCCACACATTTTCCGGTAGAATAGTCACCGATACATCCTAACAGGAAACCCTGCGTTATTCAGAGTCAGCAAACTTCATCCGAAGATGATTGATTTGCTCTAATAATTGCACCCTTCCAAAAGTCAGGGTTTAATCGCATGTATTAGCTCCAGAATTACCGCAGTTATCCAATAGGATTTTCCGAATAAATGACATCTGCTCTAATGAGCCGTTCGCAGTTTCTCTTTTAGATGAACTCGACATGCATGGCTTAATCTTTAAACTGAGCATATAGCGCTGACAGAATCAATCAGGTAAAAGTTGACATTTGTGAACAATCTCATACAATTGGTATTCGCAGGCTACCAGCATTGCCTACGTCTAGCAAACCAATCGCACAATTGAGATATTCACAATGTTTGCATTTTCGCAAAGCACCAACATTTCAAATATTGGAAAATCACATTGGCACATAACGATACCCGTTTTCATTCGTGAAACTTTGGGAACACAGAAATCATTCTCGTCGAAAACGAAAATGTTTCAT